CCAAATAAGAAACTTTAAGAAACCACTCTTGCAAAGTAGGCAAAGATTCCTTCTTCCAACATTGCCCTACTAACAACCTGGCTGCTGTAATTAAATTTAACATCAATATAGTCTCTTTGCTATCACAATCAGAAACAATACCTAACAAAAACAATTGTGGGGTAAATTTTACCCTTCTTCTAAAAATTCTTTGGATATTCCACCATATCTTAATCCAAAAAGCTTTTATATTTTTACATGACCACCAGATATGATAATAAGTAGCATCCAAACATCCACATCTCCAACATTTAGGCTGCAAGTCAGGATACATACGAGACATTTTTTGTGGATCAAGGTGCCATCTATAAAACATTTTATAAAAATTTTCCCTTAAATTTTGGGCTTGTGTAAATTTAACATTCCTCACCCAAATAATTTCCCAGGTATCTAATAGAACCAGTTCATCAAAATTTTGTGCCCATTTAACCATACATTCTTTAACTAATTCTGCTTCTGAATCCAGTTCTACTAACACCCCATAAATTAATGAGTTCGTCTTTGATCTTTTATTTGTTTTAACAAATTCTCATCTTCTCTAAGCAAACCCACATTACGATCTATCTTCCACCTCTCCACTATTTGTCTATAATGAAACCATGAATAAATAATATTTTCTTGTATTAAATCTTCCAAAGATTTTAATTGCCAGTTTTTACCATCCCATCTAAGTAATTGTGCATAAGAAACGCTATCCATCTTGACTCCTCTCCTTATCCCTTCTATCGCATGCCACGGTATAGCCCATAGTGGAATTTTAAAATCACTTCTATAATATTTCTTCCAAACCCGAAGTAAAGAAATCCTTATGAGATTTAAAAACCCTATCAACCTTTTTATTAAAAATTAAATATGCATGCCATCCAAAAAGTAAATCCCAACCCTCCAAGAGGAGTATTTCTACATTTGTTAAATTAACCCAATCACTAATTAATGTTAAAGCCACAGCATCATAATACAATTTCAAATTCGGTACCTTGAGTCCACCTCTCTCACAAATATCTTGTATAATTTTAAGTTTTACTCTTGGTTTTTTCCCTGCCAGATAAATTTATTGATACCTTTCTGCCATTCATTTAAATTAACCTCATTCTTTAAAATGGGTATCATTTGAAATAAAAAAAGAAACTTTGGCAGAACATTCATTTTAATCGCCGCAATTCTTCCCAAAAGAGATAATTGCAGCTTCTCCCAATTTTCCAAATCTCTTTGTATTTTGACCCACAGCCTTTCATAATTATTTTTATACAATTTTGCATTAGAAACAGATAAAATAACCCCCAAATATTTTACCTTATTGACAACCTCAAAATCTGTCAATTTAACCAAGGTCTCCTTATCCAGGCCTTTCTTGCCATTGTTATTAAGTGAGCTACTGCAACTGTTAAGTTAGTAACATGGTTGTTAAGTGACTCATGCCTCTCCATTGACTTTGCTTGTCAGAAAGTTGCTAAAAGTGATTGCATGATCCCATGACTGCATAACCATCATAAACATGAGTCAATTGACAAGTGTCTGAATTTTGATTACATGAACATGGGGATACTACAACAGTTGTGGGAAAATTAAGTCATAAATCACTTTTTTTCAGTGCCACTGTAACTTTGAACGGTCATTAAATGAACCGTTATAAGTTGAGGACTATCTGTAATTGTAAATATTATATGTCCAAATAGAAATTCAGCTATACTTACTTTGGATCAGTATACATAAAATTGCACCTTTTATATCTAGTTTAAAGACATCCATATTGCTAAAGCTGTGCTTTTGAAATATTGAACTGCTTTAGAATAATTGCAGATTATTTGAAAATATTGCAGTGGAAAGGCTACAGTGAGACCATACCTGTTTTGCAGATTAGAGAACACTGCAGCGATATCCTGTCAATGTCACTTGGTTAGATATTTGAGAATGTAGTAATGAGATAGTACAACAGTTATGGGATCAAACCTCAACCAGCAAACCCAGGTTTAAATCCACACTTGACCACCAAATTCATTATGTGATATTTGGTTAGTCACTTGCTCTGAGCCCAAGATTGTTTTAGGTGGAATAAAATGGGGGGACGTCCCCAATAAGCATGAGAGGAAATATGGGATCTACATGAAGTATATAAAATAGTAAATCTAAGGCCTTTTCACATATTGGACAAATCTATAGTTTAATGATTTTGGTTTTGGCTTACTGTCTTGCGTCAACCCAACCATTATATACTTTGATTTATAGTTTACTGCAGTATGCAAAGCCAGTATGAGAGTTTAAGCTTCCCTTGTATGTAAAAGGAAGATTAAAAAAACAATATGGAAAGGTTATTACAATGGAAAAGAATTCTAATTCTTTTCCATTGTAATCTTTCCATATTAAGAATCCTGGATTTTTTGTTTTTTTAACTCTTATGCGTAGTAAATGGCATGCTGTTTATAAATGTTGGTAAAGATGTTAGGAAAAAAGAGATCATTGGATTGCAGGGTTGATATGTGCATGTGTATTAGATGTGTGTTAATACATGAACTTTTCACCCATATTTTGTGAAGCCATGGATGTTTTAATGCTCAATGACTGGGAGTAAAGTATCTCCTATGCTGTGACACATACTACCGAGAGCCACTAGATTCCTTTCTATGATAAGGGAATGCATCCTTTTCATGTCACCACTGTGAAAAATGCAGATAGTCCTTGCCTTACAACTGTTTGTTTAATGATGATTCAAAGTTGTAAAGTGATTTACAGCCTGTAGTTTCATTTATGATTATTGCACCACCCCATAGTTATATGATCTCAACTATGACACTTGGCAATCAGCTTGCATTTACAACCAGTTGCAGCATCCTGCAGTGACAAAGCACCCATTGGGGAAGCTGGATTCATTTAACAACTTCATGATTTGCTTAATGGCCACCATAAAACTTGTGAAATCAAGTCCAACTTACTTATGACCATAACTTGTGATTGTAATTCCTGTCCCAATTGTAGTCGGAAGTTGAGGACTACCTATACATAGTTAAAAAATCTCATGCAACACCTTTTGCTGCTATAGCAGGAAGGCCAGCTGCATCACTCTAAGCTGCCCAATGTGTGTGTGCCCTTAGTATAGCACTCTTCAGAGCAAATATGTGATAGAAGCTGTTTTTCCCCCATGAAAGCCTTATTTTTACAACTTCCTCCTTCCGTTGAGCAAGCTAGTGTTTCAGATTTACAAGTTTTAAAAAGGCAATATGCTAAACTTAAATATGTAGAGCCAACACTTCCTGACTTCATTATTGCTTGGTGTTTAACTTGTGTTATACCATAGCAAATAAAGCAGTAGTTATTTGTTTCAAGGAACTTGCAGAAGTAAAATGCATAGGAGGGATGGTCTGCCCCTTTATAGTATGAAGCACTGTTGACATTGTAGTTGCTCCCCAAGATACTGGTAATCCTTTGTTTTATGACCACAATTGGGACTGGAACATCTGTCACTGAGGTAATTATTAAGTGAGTTATAACCAATTTTTTGTTCTGATTTTTAAGTGAATCTGACTTCCCCCATATACTTTGCTTGTGGAAAGCTGACTGGAAAGATCATCAATGGTGATCACATGATCCATGATGCTGTAACTGTTTTAAGTACATGCTGGTTATCATGTGACCACAAGTGTTGTGGAATCAGTTTTAAGTATGAAGATTGTAAGTCACTTTTTCCACCAGTTGTAACTTGCAACAATTGCTGAACTAATGGTTGTAAACTTGAGGACTATATGTAATTTCTCATGTGAGTGTAACAATATTAGGCATTAAGTACTATCAAGGCTATCAAATGGTGCAAGATTGTATGAGAAATTCAGGACCAATGCAATTAAAAGATCATTTTCTCATAGAATCCTGCATTATTTGGCAGCTTTGATAGAAGGTACTTATCAAACCAGATGTGCAGCAGACAAAAGAAAGGATTTCATAGAATACATAGTAAATGGTTATAGGATATAGATATAGTGCAGATCACTGAGTCAGTGAGGTGACAGGATTAACAAAAGCCAAAGAGATGGAGCCTCCACATTCAGAGGCAGTGTACCTCTCTGTATACCAAATGCTTGGAAAAACCTTTTTTAAAAAACAAAACAGTAGGCTGACTGTTTTGGGAAACTGCTTGCTTCTTGAACCTGAATCATTCACTAAATAATCACCACCTTTTCACCTTTTGGGTCGAGCGGACCCAGCAGCTCAAGGGATTAGTATAAGGCATGCGGAGACTGCCACGGGAAGCTGGATTAATCGAGTAAATCGGAGTTCAGCTTCTCCTGCAAACGCAAAACGCTTTAAGCTGAGCTGCTTTTTCCATCTGACGCAGCGCTTGAGACTTCTTCTCCATTGGATGCCTCGCTCCCTTCATCCACTCAGCTCTTACTATTATTACACCTTGTCAGCCCCGCCTTTTGATAAGACGTCGGGGCCGACGAACCATTGTTATCTTCCCCATCTCCTTCCTTTTATTTTTTGAGGAAGAGAAGAAAAAGCGGTTAATCCCCCAAGGCGATCCAGAGAAAGGACCGCAGCTCCCACAGCGGGAATGGAAAGGGGGGGGGGCATAAAGAGCGCGCATGCGCGCGCACCCTTTTCTCATAACTGACCTAGATGGCCGTTGTGAATCATTTATTTAGAAGAAGGCGCGAGCCATACGCGCGCGCGCGCTCTCTCGCTACCTATCTACCCACGCCCGCCACTGCTGCCTTTCTCATCCTGCGCGCTTGCGTTTTCCTCTTCGCCGCTGCCGTTCCGTCTCCCACGAAGCCTCCCGCGCGTCCCGCGCTGCCTCATCCTCCTCACCGCCACACAGTCTTCTCTCTCCCCTCTCTCCTTTTCGCTCCGTTTGGTTCCCACCCTCTCCACTGCCGAGAGCCAATGGCTGAGCTCCTAAGGAACTCCGCCTTCTCCCCGCCAATAGAAACTTACTACTATGTTATGGGGCGGGGGAGAAGGAGAGCTGGGTGAAGGAGAGAGAGAGAGGGAGAGCGCGGTTGAACGAGAGCCAACTAAGCGGCGAGGCCGTCTGGGGCAGGGGGGGCGGCCTTCAACCACTGCCGGCGTCCTCGCGAAAGGCTATCGGCCTCCAGCATCCCCACTGGGGAGAGGAGGCAGGCAAGTGAGGCGGCGACGCAAGCAACTTCCGTCCTGCGCCCCTTTTCTTCTGGTTCTCCGCTTTATCTCAGCGAGGTGCGTCGTGCTGACAGAGAGAGGGAGAGGGAGAGGGTTGGCTGACCGGACGGCCGAGGGACTAGAGAAGGCGAGGCGCGAGAGAAAGGACCTGGTGTTCCTCTCTTCCCCCGGCAGGGCGGGGCCGCTGCTGGACTGCCCCGGGAGGCGCTCAGGTGCCGTTGGCCTTTTGCCCGGGCGGCGAGAGCGGTGTCCCTCGCTCTGAGGTGCGAAAGGAGCGTCCGGCTTGGTTACGCCACGGGGTGAGGGGTGGCAGCGAAGGTGTGCGACGGAGGAGAAGGGGGTGCTTGGCGAGCCGGGGTTGTCTTGGAGGAGAAGAAGCGTGTTGAGCAGTAGCTGCCTCCCGGTCAGAGGATGGGAGGGGATTATGGGACGACGGAAAACGGTGTGACTCAGTGAGGTGAGCGCGTTGGATTGAGGAGCGCGCGCGCGAATGTCGTTGGGGGAGGAGGGGGGAGAAAGAGAGAGGAGGTTGAATGATTAAAAGGCGAGCTGGCGAGCGAGCTTCCACGTTAGCCTCCTGCTCTTCCCCTTCCATTTCTATCCCTGGTCAGTTGGTTTGCGGGGAGACTTGTAGTCTGGATTGAGAGCTAGCCCTCTTTTATATTGTCTCCCAGATCTTCATCTTCCTGGGCTTTATCTTTTTTTTTCTTTTTCTTTTTTTAATGGCACCAGAGCTACAGCGTGACAGTTTTGATTTTGAAGGGGGAGGGGCCGTCTGCAGTTGTGTAAGCGTTTTGGGGAGGGGGGGAAGAGAGACAAAGCTGATCAGGTACAGGAAATCTCTTGCATACTGACATGAAGTGAATGCCGTTCCTTGGAGCTCTTCTTGTTATTTCTGACAGTAATGTCACGGATTTCAAAATAAAAATAATAAAGGCCTACTGATACCCCTGATTAAATATTTCCGTTTAATGTTAATAACTGAAACTACATTGCTTTAATTGTCTTACATCTTAGTCCTAAATGCAGTATGAAAACATTTTGTTTGTCTCTATTTCGGTTCTATATGTTAAAGGGGGGGGGGTTGCAGATATGTCTTATTGTAATTTAGTTTGATTTCTTTTAAGTTTAAGTTTTTCTAAAGGTCTAAGGATCCTATACCAGATGTAAGATTTTGAAAAAAACTTTCAAGTTGTTCAATGAGATAACAATATGAATTCTTTTTTATTTATGGTAAATTTATGGTAAATAGGATGGGTGATTCTTTAAGCAAGATTGTGATAGTTGTACAGACTTTAACATTAAGGTTTAACATTAAGAACTGCAACCAAGTTATATTACGTGATTGGTTTTCTTGCATTTACAAGTATTGTTTTACAAGTATTGTTTTCATTGCAAAACCATATGTTGGTTACTGTAATAGAAACTAATCATTTAAAAAGTACCCAGATCACTTAAAAAAATCTAGTAAACCTGGTTGAACTTAGCTGCTCTCAGAAAGTTAAGCAAAGTTAGTACTTAAATGGAGAAATTTTATACTGGGCTGTATAAAAATCCCAGATAAAGTCAGTGACAAACCACTGGTAGTTACCAAAGTACATGAAATGTTTTGTGGAGTCACTAAGATTTAAGTTTGTATACCTATGTATTGCAAATGATTTTGGGCCCAGGATTGGTTATGTTAATATAATAGTGAATAGTTAAAGTACTACAGTTGCTTTGTGTTGTTTGTAGAACTATTAACAACCCCACTAGATATATTGTTATTTAGCTGTTATTATATAATAAATATCCCAGACAAAAGAACTGAAGAAGCTTCTTGGATTAGAAGCAAAATGTTTTCATGGAAAAAACAGTCCAGTTGCCATTTGAAAAGCATCTTTGGGACAACCATGATCTGTATAACTGAGAATCTCCATAAATGTTCCAGTCAAATGTTAAGAGCATAATATGATTTGTGGCTTTCACTTCACTATATGCCTTGAACACATTCCACTATGTTGGATTTAAAGGTTATTTTTAAATAATTTAACCTTAATTTGGTGAAGTATTTCAATTCTGACTTCAGGATTCCCCTCCCTCAAACAGTCAGTGGGTAAAAGAAATTACCCAGTTTGTCTTAAGTTCACTGGCAGTGTTATCAGTTGTGCCAGCTGTCAGAGTTTTGTTTAATGTTGTAATTCTAGGTTAATAAGGGAATTCCAACTATAATCTTTCAACACTACAACTGTATACTAGTAGAGTATTCAATATTGATTGGGCCTAACCTTTTATTAACAACGTTATGAGGCTTTGAATGTCATAAATATCAAATTAGGAGAACTGGAATAAGTTTAAGCAGATGAGAGATAAGTAAAGATATGGTGCTTGATATCAGTAGCTTATCCTTCAAGATAACTTATTTGTTATGTGTACTTTAATACTCTTTTGAAGATACCAATAAGAAATTGCATAATTGAACTGGGTAAAAATACTTTTTTTCTTACTGTAAGGTACTAGGGCAAGGATGTCAAACTCGCAATGTCATGTGACGTGTCGTGATGTATCATGACTTTTTTTGCATTTTCGGCAATGGGTGATCACGGTTTCACCATGATGCATCTGGCCCGTGGGCCGGCAGTTTGACACTCCTGTACTAGGGTATTCCAAATTCAGAGGCAGCAATATGAAAAAAAAAATCATATCTTCCAGGATAATGAGAGCTACTTAAAATTCTTTGCCAAAGACACAAATGATAGACTTGGACTTGATAGCATTTAATGTTAACAGATGATTAATTTTACTACTATGAAATACAACTTAGTTGCATTTATTCATGCTCTAATAACATATCTTGACTATTTCAGTGTGTTACAGTAGATAATTTGGAGAGCATCTGAAAACTTCAATTGCTACAAACTGGCTTTCTAACTGGAGCAGAATACAATGATCAAGTCACTCCAATATTTACACTTTGGTACTGGTTGACAGTTATTTGATTGAATGTATTTGTTGTAATTTTTAAAGTATTTGCTGCCCTTAGGAACATACTACTTGCCAGCTCCTTTTAGAAAGGGTGTCCAGTTACACCTTTAATATAGGTTGTCCTCAACTAAGCAAGAAAATTGCTAAGCAAGAAAATTGTTAAGTGAATGTTTCCCATTTCTTTCTTGTACAGGTGTTAACTAGTTAATAACACAGTTGTTAAAGTAAATCTGGCTTCCCCATTAATTTTGTTTGTCAGAAGGTTGTAAAAGGTGCTCATATAACTCTGCAACCATCATAAATATATGTCAGTTGCCAAGCATCTAAATTTTGATCATGTGACCTTGGGAATGCAGCAGTGGTTGTCAGTATAAAAAATGGTCATAAGACACTTTTCAGTGCTATTTTAACTTTGAATGGTCATTAAACAAATGGTTGTAGGTTGAGGACTACCTTTACATATTTTCATATATCTTGTATTGGCCCCATGTTTTTAATTACTAGATTGTAGTTGTGGATTTATATTAACTTTTTGATACATCACATTAGCAATTTGAAGGAAGTAATATTGAATTTAAGTCACCAGTTTTTTTGATGAGTGCCTTACTCAGATTGTGGTCAGGGGCATTGGAATGTTTCAGGCATACACTTACTCATATACTTCAGTGCAACTTGTCTGAGAGTTAACTTACATGTTTCACATGATGCTGCCACTGCCTCATGCATTATTCTTAGCACATGCGTTTTTCCTTCAATGTATGTATTTCTTATCAAGTCTTTGGAGAGCTGATGGGCTACCTGTCTAAAAGAAGCAGTAATGTTAAAACAGCTTTCTGAGCAAACAGTTTGTAAGATCTCTAGTACTAGAGCAGAGGTGTCAAACTGCCGGCACGTGTATCATAATTTATAAATAAGCAGAGAGAGGTTTTGTTTGTAAAGCTCTTAAAACTATATATTCTGAATTTCTTTCATACAAGGTTATTGTTAAATGAATTTTTAATTATTCATAATCATATGGCCCTCTGGCAAAATGAAAGGCAGAATATAATTCAGTTCTCCCCTTAAAAATAAGATACTGTGTTATCAGGAAGCAAAGTGATAAAGAGAGGAAGTAAATTTAGTCTAGAACATCTTTATGTTTGTCATTTTGGGATGCTGGCACTGAGATTTTCAAGTATATTCTCAAAATAAACTTATACGAAGAGGCCTGATTCATAAAATTACCAAGAGTCGGACAAGACTAAATGGGCATCTCCTGCAACCGTATAAATTCTTTTCTATGATATCAGGAGCAAACTTTAAACATAACCCAAATATCTCCTTGATTATGCAAATGTTATTAAAATGGGTAACACCATGATCATCATCATTTGTGTACTTAAGAGCTTGCTGAAGAAAAGGGTTCTGAGCTGTGAAGTTTCTTTATTAAACTTGTTACTTATTGCAAGCAACTCTGTCTGGCTTACAGCATCTTCCACAACTGTTTAAATTCTTTTCTATGATATCAGGAGCAAACTTTAAACATAACCCAAATATCTCCTTGATTATGCAAATGTTATTAAAATGGATAAAAATGATATCTAATATTTATATTAGAAAGGTTAGTGAATACTGGCCCCTTGTTTAAACTATGAGCTATCACCATAAGAAATGGTAGAAGATTTTAAAAAACTGAATTATAGAAAGTAGTTCTTGGAAAAATTATTTAATTAACATTAATGCTTTGTTATGAAATGGGAGGGATAACTGAATGGCTCAGACCATTGATACAATAATTTTATCAGTGCTAAACCACTTAACAAGTAGTACTTAACTTACAAATCATTCATCTAGCAATTGTTCAAAGTTAAAATAGCGCTGAAATAAGTGACATACAACCGTTGCAGCATCCCTGCAGTTATGTGATTGGGACTGGATGCTTGACAACCAACTTGCATTTATGATAGTTGCAGCGTCCTGGGTTCACATGATCTCCATTTGTATCTGCTGCAGTCACATGATGCTTGCTTAGCAACTGCATTGCTTAACAACAAATTTTCTAGTCCCACTTTTTGTAGGACTAGAGGACTACTTGTCTTTTCAGTTATCTTAAA